CAGGTTTTCCTTCCTCCTTTCTTCTCCTTCCTTGTCTCCTTCTTTCCTTGTTTCCGAAACAGTTTTCTTTTCTTTCTGTTATTCAATCCTCTGTCTTAACTTCTGAATCCTGGGATTTCAGGTGTATACCATCATGTCTGCCTGGAACCAGAGTTGATTTGTTTGTCATTTGGTTTTATTTGAACAGAATCTCATTCTTGAGATCAGACTAGCCTCCAGCTTGTTGCAATCCTGTGAGCTCAGGCTCTTTGGTAGCTCTGGAAACATAGACGGGAATCCTGACAACTAGGGGACTTAAAGCCTAAAATGGCATAATGTCTTACCCAGAAAATGTATGCAAGTGTGACTTCTGAATTAGATAACTTGAAATCTGTATGAGAAGAGTCAAAAATCAAATATATGCCAAAATTCACTAAAGAAATTACATAAATGTTCTGTGTCTTGGGTCCCTGGACATTTTTGTTGTTGTTTTACTAAAGTATTTTGCATTCAGTGTGCTTGGAATGAATAACAATACTCATAATGTTGAATTTTATCAATATATAACTCTGTGAATTTCACTTAGTGTTTTTGTCTTAAAAAATAAACTACTGAGTTGTTTCCCCCTAATTATGAAGTAGTAAATAGTGATGGACAATGATAAAAATAAAAATTCTTTCATATGCCTCATTATTTAAGTTCAAGGAATTTTACTAAGAATGGACAATAAAGAAAACTGAGTCCAAATAGTGACAGAGAGTCACAAAAAAAAAGCAAGCAAGTAGAATCATGGAATAATTACTTCATTCAAATTGGCCAAAATTTCTTTGACTATCATCATCTTAAAATTACAAAAAAGAAAGGAGGAAGCAAGAATAAATATTGTATTATACTGCTTTGCTTTCCAGTGTATTTCAGGAATGCACTGAACTGCCAAAGCAAGTCATTGCCTATCCTGGAAAAGCAGCCATATATGAAGGGTCAGGGCTTAGGTGGATGTATTTCTATAATGTAAATTTTGAATTTCTGATTTTCAAAAGTTTCATTCTGACTACATTTATCAAATTTGTGTCATTTATTAAATTTGTATTCTTTAGGAACTATTTTTCAATGTTACTTTTTGCAACTTCTCTCTGTTTCTGTCTTCCAGATCCCTAGAGAAACATTTGAACTTGACTTAATTCACCATTTTTACTATTTATGAGAATTGATGAATTGATGTTGAAATATTTCTGGAAATCAGAATTATGTGTCATTCTAAAATAAAATCACTTCATTCCAGTACTTTGTAGCTATAGCTAAATTATAGACTCTGTGCTCACCATGTTTTATTGTTGATCTTACATTAAAAAGTATTCTGTACCATGGATAAGCATATTGATTCTCCATATTTCTTAATAAAAATAACATTGTCTTCAGCTTCCTTTTGTTCTCAGAAAAGTAAAATGTCACACCAGGAAAGTTCTAAACATTAGGCAGAAATGATCCTTGGAGGGCAGTTTCAGTCCTTCACAGATGCAGGGCAGGCTTCTTCAATTAGCAAAGTCCCAAAGTCTTCACTTAGACAAACGATAGGGACTTTGGCCTGCCAAGAAACCTGAAGACATAAGACAACATGCCCTCAGTGCAGCAAGTATGCTAAGGTATACCCACTGGTACACAAAAGTGTCTGAAACAAACAAACAAAATAACAGTTGTACTATTTCACGCTGGGATCTATTGTGGAAGTGCTGAGATTGTGTTTGTGGTGGTACAGAAGAAATGAAGGCAGTTTCCAGATCTCACCCCCCCCCACACACCACCACCACCACTTGGAAGAGGATGTGGAGAAGACAGAGCCTTGCCTTAGTTGAAACAGCTGTGAAACATGTGGAGGCTGAGGTGAAATTTGCCAAAATTCTCATCCAAGCTTTCTACCCATTTTCCAGCAAAGAATAGGCAGTCAGGTGATAATAGTGGGGGATTTGGGTTTAGCAAGTGATAACTTTGTAAAGCATAAAGAAGTAATTTAAATTCAAGATTACAGGAAACGCAATCCAAAGGATGCTATTCTAAAGAGCATTTTTCTTTTTTATTGACTTATTGAGCTCTACATTTTTCTTTGCACCTTCCCTTCCTCTCCCCTTCCTTTCAGCCATCTCCCATGGTCCCCACGCTCCCAATTTACTCAGGAGATCTTGTCTTTTTCTACTTCTCATGTAGATTAGATCCATGTATGCCCCTCTTAGGGTCCTCATTGTTGTCTAGGTTCTCTGGGATTGTGATTTCTAGACTGATTTTCTTTGCTTTATGTTTTAAAACCACCTGTGAGTGAGTACATATGATAATTGTCTTTCTGGGTCTGGGTAAAGATTAGGAACCTTGTGGATTAATAGGACACCAGTATCATATGTCCCACCATGATAGTGTGCAGTAGATAAAGGTCAATGGTGATACCTAACTCAATTGCTATTCCTCTCCAAGAAGCACATAGCTGCTCTTCAGGTTAGCTTCCACTCAATGATTACTTCTGTGCTTCTTGAAAATATATGTGTGCAAAGCTCACTTCATTTTGTTCAGTGGACTTCCCTTCCTTACAATTTTGCATAAGGATTTGGTCATTCCATTAACTGTTTTTAGAATGAAATACTGCATTATAGCGAGATTTTTGCTGAAATCCAGCCGCTATCTATATAAGCCTGCTGCTGTGCATCTCTTGCCACAATGACTGTCTGTATAAGCCTACCACATGTTTTGTATGTATGTGAGGTATTTGTTAAATACTCTGGAATATTTCAAAAACAAGAGGAGAGCGATATCAAAGAAAGAAAAATAAATACCAGTTAATAGGTTTCTCTCGAGGTGAATTTGTTCATTCATGCTTACTTACGGGAATGTGTAAGCCGTTACTCATTCATACTGAATAGACGAAGCACGGCTCATTCAAGCTGAGCACCTCATGAGAAAAACTTGCTACTTTGCAGTCAGCTTTCGTAGTTGCTTATCTGCAGGGAAAGAAAAAAAAAATCATTGTCTACATACAAATGACCTCAAACCAAGATCTTGGTGAGAATGACTGCAAGCTGGCAAAAATCTTGATTCATGTGAACCAACATGGTCCTAGGAAGGACTTGAAGCTGAATATTCCATACTGTGACTTGAGTTTAATGTTTGCCAGAGTAGCCTAGGGGGCAAAAATGCTATCACCTGGAAATTTTATGCATTTCCAGAATAGCTCCATGCTACAACAGTGTGAGTGTTATCAAATATATAGTTTAAAACCAAGTGTGTGATGAACGCTCAGTTCTACTTTGAGCCAGGTATGTTGGCGTCATGTAAATATAACTACCTGTGAGCTGTCACCTACTAGAAACTCACCTAGTTCCTGTGTTATCAGATCCTGTGTAATTAGAATGATTTCATAAAACATTCTTTAACCTGAATAGGAAAGCTGGCTGACCTTCACCAGCCAGGATGAGGATCCTAGCCAATATGGAAAGTAAATGACAACTTGGAAATGTGGTCATAAATGACAAGCAGTCAGAGAAACTTCCAATAGTACCATTAACATAAAAGGAGTAGCCAGTGTGTGAAAATGTAGGTGACAAACTATTGCTAGTGCAACTGCTGTGAGAAAAATCACATCTGACCAGCTAAGATTTAGATAAGATTCAATCCAAAATTGGTTGCTTTAAAATTTTCTGGAGAGTGGGTTTTCATTTTGCAGTGAAATGACTTCACTTACTAGCTAGATTCCTTTTAGGTTTATAGAAAGGAAAAGAACCAAAACAAAAAATACCTCATCAACAAGTATCACTGGACTCAAGGCAACTGTCACTGAAGAGATAATTTCTCATTCGTATTGTATTATATTTATATAATTAAATAGCACTTAAAATATCCTGCTTATATTCTCAACTAGTTATTATTATTCCTTCATCACTTTCCTGGGCTTCTGGGAGACCTCCTTGTACTGGATATTACAACACAAGTCATGTATACATGCTGCACATCAAGGAGAAACCAGGATATTTCGGAGAAGACTTGCATGATCCTTTGTTGAAGATGTTGGTATTTCACTGGGGATAAATGTGCCATGACTTTCTTGAGTTGGATTTGCCCACTTTCCATGTCTCCATGATGACTGCAGATTAACTTTTCTATTTTATGCACATTCTGTGTTTTAGTTTACAGAAAACACCTTCAAGATTACCTATCAGGGATACTAAAAAGCTAAATAAAACATTCTGCATTCTGTTCTATTAATTTTTGAAAAGAAACGTGAATTGCTCTGTTCCAAATTACTGTTGTGATTTTACATGGTGTTGAAGATATGATATGGATAGATGATGTTTGGTATGTACAGCAGGTGTTTGTCATGCGTGTACAATAAAAAATTAAAACTTCTTGTATAAAAGTCATATGGACAGACTTTTGGTCACACATTTCCTATTGAACAAAGTAGCAGGCACTAGAAGAGAAAACTATGGCTATCTGCATTAAGGAACTAAAATGAAAATAGAACAAACAGTCAATTCTGCAATAATTTTCATACATTTTGTCTAAGCTTTAACTGTTTTTAAAGATTTATTCCTTTTTATATTTGTGTATGTATAAATACAATCATTGCTTCTTTGAGGATTCCACGTTCTCTCATACTTAGATCTCATGTACATGTAGAAATATAAATTTTATTTCTACAATTGTTTTCTGATGAGGGTTTGGTTTATTTTATTAGAACAGTACCATTTTAGAAGTTAAAATTTGTATTTGGTATTTATAGATGTGTTAAGAACTTTTCTAATTGAGTTATGGGTTAGAAAACAGGAAGAGAGGAGAGAGAGAGAGAGAGAGAGAGAGAGAGAGAGAGAGCGAGCCTATCTTACCCTATGGATAGGGGTCAGTCTTACTGTCTTTGTTCACTATTAGTCCTTTGTCTAGCAACACACCTGGAGAAGTCGGTACTCAATAACTGTGAATTGTATGATTGCACACATTTCCATGACTCTGCTAACACAATCTCTTGCACTTTCCCCCCCCAGACTCCCAGGAAGGAAATTACAAGTCAGAAGTGAACAGCAAACCTAGGAAGGAAAGGACAGCTTTTACCAAAGAACAAATCAGAGAACTCGAGGCAGAATTTGCTCACCATAATTACTTGACCAGACTGAGAAGATACGAGATTGCAGTGAATCTAGATCTCACCGAAAGACAGGTAAAGTGGGCGTCATCGTGGCATGACCTTTTATATTGCTATGACTGAGCAATCTTCTAACATTTTTGAGTTAATCTGGATTTATGATTTACAAATACCAATGAGAAGTCTCTACTATTCGATGATTAAACTTTTATTCAGCAAAATGATGAAATTGAAAAAAGAACAAATGATATTTGAATGAAAGGTGCTTTTACTGAGTTTTTAATAAGGAATGCCTTGTGATGGCAGTATTCCTCTGCTTATTTTAAAAACCCAGCTTGTTTTACCTAATGTGGATAAATGGTGAAATACTTCCCGTGTTTATATTTAAGCACTCCTCATCTGGGGGTAATAAAAGGTTAGTTGTCTGGACAGGTCAGGATAGGTCATGTTGTGTTACAATAGAACATTAACCTTTAAAACTAAATAGCATGAAGTAAAATAAAATCTCGATGGCTTATTTTCTACATGAGTTGTACAAATCCAGCACTCTGAATAATCACTCAGTCCTTGGAACCCTAACCTGTGGTGCTGCTCGTAATCACAGGAGGTGATAAGGAATTGGCAGTTCCCTGACCTCGAGAGGCATTCACCTGGAAATGATTCATATTCCATTTGCTTTCACGTGTTCTGCACTAATCCACGGGTGTAGCATAGGTACAAGAAGCTTGGGGAATGCTTGGCAGCAAGGACACACAAGTCATTGGAAAATGCTTGTTCTTTATTAATCAAAACACTTTAAAATGGTGTTTATTATAGAAATTCAATAGTCCACTATTCACTCAAAGAATGCTTTGAAAGTACTAATGATCCATGCCCAATTAATGAGAAATAAATAATATATTTAAATCATTTGCTTTATAGACTCCTTTATTGGGTTTTATTTGGATGGAAAATAACTTGTTCTGTTAGCAGTCAGGGAGTACGCCCTATATTAATTCATATTTACTCTAGGAGAACTCAGCTTTCAGATGGTTAACAGTCTTGCTAGTTAGAAAAACATTCCTGAATGGCAAATGCAAACATCTTTATGGACAGTGCAATTGCAGAAGGAACTATTAGGGCAAGAGTTTATTTCCTCTCTCACTGTTCTTGCCCCCCCCCCCAGGGGTCCCACTGGGACCAGGGAAATACCAACAAGTATGGACAAATCACTGTCGTACATTATGATAGCAAGGGATTTTATCTAGTTTCTTAAATCATGTTCTTTCTGCTAATTTTGAGGTTTCAGATTCTGTGGCGTATTTCTGGTTAGAGAAAATATACAAAGGAACACTTTTATGTGGTTTTATTTATTGGCAGTTTATATTTTACTAAATATTATGACTAGTTCCTAAGTTCTGGAGTAGCACATTTTCTTCCTCTGGATCAGACAAAGTTCCTTCTGTGAATGTGGAGCATTTGGTACTTCAGAAACCAGAATCTAAAATCTATATCGTCATATAGTTGATCTATTTTAGTGTATTTATTTGAGAACAAGGACATAAGGAAGGGGGTAAATTACACATTAATGTATAGTGAAGGGTCGTCATCTTTCACTACTCGAATAGAGAAAACAGGTTTTCTATTTGTCTAGAGCAATTTAACTTTAGAAGAGGCTCTTTAAACTGATGAAAATGTGGAAAGTAGTTTAGATAATTATTCTTTCTTCCTAACTGACATATATGTTGAATTATAAGTAGCATATATATATATATATACACACACACATATATATGTATGTGTACATACCTTATTTGAAATCTTAATGTCTTTAAAGCTCACTTTAACTTTAATTCAGCTTGTTGTTTCTATGTAAGGAACCATCCCAAATATTAGTAAACTCACACAACAGCCAACTTTAGGTTTATTTAGAATTTTGTGGGTCTGGGTTTTGGAATGGTTTTCCCAGTCTTCCCTACATCTATCCCAGAATTCCAGTCTTTGATCCAGTGACTAAGTGGTGCCTGAAGCTATTTTAAGAAGTTGGTCTTCTCAGACTTTTGCTTCTAATCAGGTAACCGGGGCTTTTTCAAAATAGGAAAATTGCTCTCAGGAATGCTGAGAAAATACTCCAACCTTTAAGGGATACATATTTCCCAATGACCTCTGTTCAAAGTGAATCATCTGGCCAAGTTCAGTGTCAAGTCAAGAGTCATTAGATATCTTCCCAAGGTGAGCTAGCGTTGGTCTTATAAAACAAACAGAAAATAAAATAAAAAATCAGACAGTAAAAATCAAAACAAAACAGAAAACTCGGAGAGATACTTGGGTTCTCAAATAATAGAAAAATTGGGACCGAGGGTTCTTTTTCCTACACTGTGCATCTCTCCTGTCAGTTGCTGTTGACTGGAAGGGTGATAAATTCATTAGATTTTTTTTTTTTTATTTTCGAGACAGGGTTTCTCTGTAGTTTTTGGTGCCTGTCCTGGAACTAGCTCTTGTAGACCAGGCTGGCCTCGAACTCACAGGGATCCACCTGGCTCTGCCTCAGGAGTGCTGGGATTAAAGGCGTGCGCCACCGCCGCCCGGCTAATTCATTAGATTTTAAACACTTAATTAAAGCTAAATATCTAGAGGAACATTGTCAGAAAATGCCAAATTTTGAATGCAAAAATCTAAAAAGGAATATCCAGGATTGGCTACTTAAAGTAGAAAAAAAATTTACTTGGGGCACCAATAGAAGGAAATGTGTTTTCTCTTTCTCAGATTTATCATAGCAGATTTTCAGCAGACTCTGAACAACACAGCTATATAAAGAGCTTGCTATTCACTCACATTTTGGGTAATTCCATTGGTAATACAGATATTTGTTGAGTTGGTTACTAGAAAGAAAATCCTGTCAAGTTAACCTGCAGAATCCATGCTGTAGCTCACAGGATGGGAAAAGGGAATATAGTTTCACCATGAAAAAGGCTGCTGAATTTAATCATGGACTGGGAGGAGAATGTTCTGAGTAGTACCCAATGTGAACTTTATTCTTATATATTTATGCTCATCTAGTGTATTAAATTGCAAATCTTAGAGTTTTATTTTCACTTTATGTGATGAATTTATGTGCTGAATTCAGAAGAACAAGAAGTGTGATTTAGTAATCACATTTTTTATTCTTGGGGATATAAAGGGAAATTTTTCTAAAATATTGGGAAGTTGATCCCAGTGAAATATTTTTGGCTTTTAATTTGGCTTATTTAATGTCATAGTCATAAACTCATAAGTTATCTTCAATATTCGTGTTCTTTAAAATGAGATGAAGACCATGAAGGGTACACACACTGAAAGAGTCTACCTGAGCTAATAGTAGCTCACAAACTCCAGCCGGATTGGGAAGGAACAAGTATCGGACCAAACTAGTCTCTGTGATTGTGGTTGACAGTTGCAAGGGCAGACTGAGGGGTCACTAACAGTGGCACCTGGATTCATCCCTAGTGCATGTACTGGCTTTGGGGGAACATATTCTCTTTGGATGATACCTTGCTCAGCCTAGATATTGTAGGGAGGGCCTTGGATGTTCCCCAAAGCAATGTGCCTTACCCTCTCAGAGGATTGGATAGGAGTGGGGTGGGAGGGTATGTGGAGGGAGTGGGAGCAGAGGAGGGAGTGGGAGCTTGGATAGGTATATATAACAACAACAACAAAAAAAAAATAGTTTGTTTTCTTTCTTAAGAAAATAAATAAATAAAAAGGGAAAATGTTATGACGTTTCTCTCAGTTTTGTAGCAGGAATAATAAAAACTCAGAAAGAGAAATTGGGGTTCAACAAAAAAAAATAAACAGGAAAACAAAGCAGCCATGCCACTAGAGAAGTCTTATCTCTACCAAGGCTGGGCAACCGTAAACTAAACAGCCTATGCCTCTTTTTCCTCACTTTTTATATTCCTTCTAGTGCTGATATTAAATGTGTGAGTATCATCACCTGGATTTGTTTCTGCATTGATCTTGTGTAGCCCAGGGTGGTTTTGAACTCACAGAGATCCATCTGTCTCTGTCTCCCAAATTCTGGTATTAAAGGTGTGTGTCACCATTACCTGACTTGTAGTGACTTTAGCTTTGTCTCTGGTCTTAAGGCAAAATTTATTTATTAAAAGACTAATAATATACCACTACACAGTTCTCTTGGGCATCTACCACAAAACACAGTAGACCAGATTTCCCAGGCAGCCTAGTTTTATTCTTTGCCATTTGAGAGTATTAGTAGTCTAGATTCAGGGCTTGTCAGGAGAAAGGCTGCATTCCTATAGACAGCCTTCAGCCTCCTGCTTTTTCTGGCTGAAAGGCTAATTAGCTCTCTAGCTTACTTCTGTAATGATATTTATCTGGGTTAAGACAAATTTACCTTTACGAGTTAACTTTTCAAAGACCCCCACCTCTAATGTCACCATTTTGAGCAGAATATTTCTATATAAGGAGTCAGTGGATAGCAACAATTCAGGCATATCACGTCAATAGTACCGTACTATCAGCAAAATGAATTCACTATGCAGTCAAAATTTTGACATTTTGTGTGCAGTTTTCATATTTAAGTTGTTTTAACTGTACCTCTGCATTCTCTTAATTTCTTTCTGTATGAATTAGTTTTACATAACTTAGAATAAAATAAAATTTAGAAATGTAGCTAAAATATGTATGTTGAAAACATTACATGCAACCATATATTGTTTGATATTCATTCTAAATTTGATAGCATTTCTTAAATCTAAATAGTTTTCTTGATTTTGATAAAAGCTTTATAACTCAGATTCAGATAAATAATTCAAAATTAAAAGGGAGAGTGAAATGAAATCACTTAGACTCAGAGCAGAATTATGGAGATAAATAATTATCTATTTTCTAAACCTTACAGTGTAGTCATATAAATTTTATTTTGTAAAACTTACTTTATAGTCATATGAATTTTTACTGTGATTTAATGTTGATTTTTTTCCTGTTATTGCCAATAAAATGTGAACTTATGCAGTAGAGTATGTAGGAATACTTTTGTTGTAACTGTCATTGATCAATATATGAGCCACAGGTTATATATATAGTAAGGCATGTTA